GTCCCAAGGTGTACTTGTGTTACGAGCTTCTCTGTGAAGCGCTGACTCTCGGGCAAATACACCGGATAATGCCCTTGTATTCGGCCTCGACATTCTAACACGCCGTCTTGGTTAGGTTGCAGATTCAGTTGCAACCGATCTTCTTCGTAATGCTTGTCTGCTGTGGCTCTGGTCTGGACTCTTTTCACCCAGAAGATTGTCGCTTTGTTAGTTTCTTCAGTTGTCAGCGGTCCTTCGTGTCTTTGTATCTTCTCTGAACGAGCGTTGTGAACGAACCGCATTATCCACGCACAGATTCTCATTGTCCTCCAGTAGGTAAACTTCTCAAGAAGGTTGTCTAGCTCATCTGTAGTTGCTATCGCCACAGCAAAAACATCTCTTGTTGCTTTCACTTCTGCCATTGATTTCTCTGATGCCTTAGTCACAATGTCTGGAGGCCAGATCGCTTTGTTCTTCAACCACTTCGGCCCGTTGCTCCAAGAGGGATGGTTTTTCACTTCTCCACCACGGCTTCCAAGGTCAGCAGGGTTCTCCAAGGTCCCTACGTGCCGCCAAGTCACGCCTGAATGTGCTTGTATTTTCTCGACTCTGTTACTCACAAACTGCTTATATGTGCCTGGGGATCTGATCCAGTGCAGGGCAACGGTGCTATCGAGCCAGCAGTACTTTTCGGTAAGGGAAATCCGTCCAGGGCGGAGGCCACGTTTACCAAGAGATTCACTGCCATATGTCCGGACACCAACTCTAGCCGAGGGATCGTCAGTCCCCTTTTGGAGAGTCTCGCTCTCGCTGCCACGAGCCCTTGATTTGAGCCCGACTCTTGATTGACTACAGCATACACAGCCGCGGCCACGCCCTTCCCACTGGCATCACCAAATGCGTGCAACTCTATTGACTGAATGTCCTCTTGATGGGCTGCTAAAGATCTCGGAACTGTAAGCTGCTCGGGAAGTCGCTTCTCCCATCGTATCCAACTCTGCATCATATCGCCTGGTAGCTTTGAATCCCAGTTTAGCTTGGCATCACACACGTCACGGTAGAGGAGCTTACCGCCTAATGAGATAGGAGAGGCCAATCCCAGTGGGTCATAGATCCGTGCCACTTTGCTTAAGATTCCCCGCTTGCTGGGATCAGCTTTTTTTTCTTGTGGAAAACTTACTCCGATGGTATCGTTTGCTTTGTCCCATGGCAAACCAAGCAGGGTAGCTCCTTCTCTTCTGGGGACGTTTAACTGCTCCTTTGCATACGTTTCTTCCTCAATCGAGACTGGTTCAGAAGCGGCTGGTTCAGAGGCGGCCGATTCCAACTCTCTCACATTCGAATGCCATTTATGCAACTCGAAGGTGCCCTTGGCGAATACTTCCTGAGAAGCTGATTTGATTTCCTTTGCCTTTTCACAGGTAGGGCCACCACTGATGAGGTCGTCGACGTATAAGCTGCGTTCTATCTCGCTGACAATGTCCGGGTGGTCTTGTCTGCAACTCTCCAACAGGTGCTGGATCACGCCTCCCAGGAGGAATGGCGATGATGTGAGACCGAAGAGGGCTCTTGTAAACCTCAACGTCTCCACTGTTTGACTGCTTGGGTCCTTTAACCAATGAAATCGCAGCGCATCACGGTCTGGCTCCTTGATTCGTACTTGAAGGAAAGCTTGCTTAATGTCTCCTGCGACTGCTATTGGATGAAATCGAGAACGAACTAGGACACTCCAGAGTTTGTTTTGAAGAGGTGGTCCAGGATTCAGACACTCATTTAACGAGGGTGCACCAGAGTAGGCCCGTGCTGACGCGTCATAGACCACTCGAAGCTTAGTGGTTTCTGCTGTGTCGCGTACCACTGCCTTGTGAGGAATGTAGAATTCGTGCTGCCCAGTTGCGGGTGTGCTAACTCTCTCGACTATCCCGGTCTTGATTTGGTCTTGGATTACTTGATCGTAACGTTCTATCATTCCTTGGCCACGCAGCTTCTTTACGAGGCCTGTTAATCTGCGAAGACTTCCTGCTTCGTTGGTTGGTAAAGGTGCGTGGTTCCCTTTCCATGGTAGGCTAGTTTCGTACCAACCCTCATCATCTCGTCTTAGGTGCTCTTTGAACTCTGAATACACCTCGTCTTGGTCACCAGTTGCACAATCCGCCAGTCCAAGCACGTCCAGTCTGCACAAGTTGTCGTAATCTACCGTTGATGTCTGCGTCAGGAACATGGGAGACAGATCCACTTCTTTGCCCGGTGAAATAATGGTCCATCCGAACTTAGTTTTCTCGGCAATAGGCTCGTTTGCGGCTCCAATAAGAGGTGCTGTTACAGTCTTGATCTTAGTATAGTCACACACTCCCAAGATAAGGTGCACCGGAAGGTAATCCTTTGGGTCCATATCGTCCATCTTCACTCCTTTCAAGTGGTCGTACCTTTCCAGGACTTGCCGGTAGCGAGGGTTTTCCAGGGATAAAAGCTGTGCCTTATTCACCTTAGTCACGTCCGTTTCAAGGATGAAATCGCTCTGCAGTGAATTTATTTGCACTTTGAAGATTTCCACCGGCTTAGTGACTACTCCCATCATCATTTCGATCTGTCGTACTTCTCGTTGATGAGGGCGAATCTTTATGTGATCAAGTAACGCTGCTGAAGCGTAGGAACTTCCGGCGCCGGTGTCTAGTAACGCACGACACTTAACTCCCATCACTTCCACTACGACGACTGGATAGATCACAGTTGGTCTTTGCGTTGAAGTCGCTGTCATTAACTGGTTACTGACGCTGTTGCAGATGGACGTGTGATGCCTTCTCTTACAAATCTGGCACATGGAACGGCTTTTGCAATCTTCAGCCCTGTGTTTGCCTCCGGTGCAATTGAAACAAAGGCGTTTGTTGCTAAGCATCCTTTTGCGATCGTCGAGGCTGGCTACCGTTTTGCAGTCGACCGATCTGTGATCTTGGCTTTCGCAATAAACGCATCCCCGATTTTTGCCATCTCTCTGCTGTTGGACTTGGAAATTCTTGTCACGCCAGGGTTTGTCGACACGCCAGGGCTTATCGCTTTGCTTGGATTGGATCGGGTTTCTTTCTGTCCATTTTCGAAGCTCATCCACTAACCTTGGAAAATTCCACTCTCGCCAAGAATCGTCTGTTCGCACAAGATCCCCTCTTATCCCCGGCAGCTTGTCAATAGTCATCCGCACGTATCCATTCACCTCTCGCAGTTTTCCCATTGTTTCCAATGATTGCACATTGAAAAGAAGCTTCTCGTAGAAATCATGGATTCTGGTTGGCTGTGTTCCTCCAATTGTAGGCAAAGACATGATGTTTTCCACGTACGCGTTCACGACCTCGCTTGTTTGTCCATACTTCCTTGCCAGGATGTTCTTCGCACGCTCGTATCCCTCTACTGAGAAGGGCAAGCCGTCTATTTCCGCTCGTATCTTCGGGTCTACGAGTTCCTTTAGGTATGAGTACTTTGTCACGCCAGCTATTTCTGCCTTGTCAATCTCGGTTTCAAATTGACTCCAGAACCGTGGCCAATCCGTTAGTTCACCTCTAAACTTTGTAATGACGAGCTTAGGAAGTTTGGCGGTCTTCGCTGCTTGATTTGAGGTCGGCTCCGTGGTCTTCGAATGGTTTGCTTTTGTCTCCTCGATCTTCTTCTCATATGTCAGCCTCATCTCCAGTTGCGTTCGTTCAAACTCAAGCTGATCCTTTCTTGACTGCTCCAGAAAGGCTTGTTGACCCTCATTTTCCGAAAGGCGTTCTCTTTGCTTGTATTCTGTTAACCATTTCCGCAAGTACGCGATGTTCTCATCAGCAGATGTTTGGGTGGCTTCAACTGTGAGGCTCCATTCTGACACGTCTTCAAGTTTCTCTCCGTTCGCGATTTTCGCTTGCTCGATTTGAAGCTTAAAATCTTCCACCTTCGTTACGATAGATCTCAAGGACTGAAGTTGGCGGTCCACAGCTTCCACATTTCCCTTTGCGGTGATTCCTTCACTCTTATCCCTTGTGAAGTTGAGCAATTGTAGTTGTGTGTCTAGATCCGTGGTAAGTTTCTCCATTGTAAAATCCCGGCGTCAGATCTGTTTGTTTTCCCTCTGTTCAGTCCCGTCGGAGGTGCCACTTTGTGTTGGGAATGGGATATTTGCTTGCAACACACTGTTGTCCCGATAAACTCGCGCTAAACGGTCCTAAATCACTCACTCACGATGTAAGGTTTTAAACATATATTCTTCACTCACAGCATCCCCTGTTTTATTACAACACAACTCCTGATAATTTTTCAACGAAAGATAAAGCGATTCGTTTTATGTTTCCTTTGATTTGGCAGATTCGATGCCTATCTCTTTCCGGTCACTTAACAATCAAATTCTATATGCGATATGAGGTTTGATTACATATGTAAACACGCGATTTACGACATTATCCCTATAAACTTTAGTGACCCCTACCGGCGTTTCGTTCCAAATCTTTACTAGCCCTTGCGAAAGACTAACTTTCCTTTCATATTAAAGGTGATTCCCTAGTAAAAAGAACCTAACATAGATAGTACACGAAACTTGGTACACTGATGTAACAAGTCAAGAAGATGATAAAAAGGTAATAAAAAGTTGGGGTCACCGTGCTCATTTTGACGTCACAATGCTGACAAATACGGCTTTTTTGTACCCTTTGACAAAAACCGCGCGCAGCCCAAAACTAGACAAAAAGGAAAGATTTTTTCAATGATGCATGTGGTATCGCACAGAATTTGACTTTAATGTATTGTTTATCCACTTACGTACCAGAAAAATGCCTTTTAATGCCCTTGTTTTTACTTTACGCTACAAAGTAGAATTAAATTGGACACGTGCTATTCGACACGTGGTAGCTCAATCCATACAATTTAGTAAAATTGCCAAAAAACTGAACATAGATTGGTGCCAATTTTTTTCTCACCGAAAGGAAGCACTGTCCTTATTAAAATCATGAAATAAAAAATGGTGGTCACCGTACTCGTTTTTGCGGTAGAGCTGCAGAAAGTGTGCACCAAATGCATTTTCCTTGATTTTTGAGAGAGGACTGGGGCGAGTTTCAAAATAGAATGTATGCGAAAGGGGGAAGAAAGTATTAAAATTCCGTTTTTACAGAATTTACATCGAGATGTCACATTTAGGACACAATGTGATAAAGAAAGCGTTTAAATGAAAATCAAAGTGAACTTCCACTATCGAGGTTCTCCGTGAGGAAGTCGAACTAAGCAACACGCGTCTTGCTTACGTTATGCACATTCCCACTACACTGAGTCTCACCTCGGCAAGAAACAACCGCAAGCAAAAATTGCAATAGCGTTTCTCTTCGGTCAACTTCATTGTAATAATGTTACTTCACATGCTCTTTTTTACGGAGGCCATCTTGTTATGCGCAGTGCAAAACCAGGGAATCACCTTACAGTTATAAGCGGTCCCCAAAACTCCTGAATTTAGAAGCCGTACCATCCTCCCATAGAACCCAGGCCTCTTAAACCTTCCTATGATGCAAAGTACGCGTGCGCAAAAACAAATGAAGGATTTCCTTAAAGAATTCTCACGTTATTCTATGGTTACACCGGATCCATCTTTGTGTCGCACAGAAATCGACCACGGCGGGTACGTACACAACGCGACTTGAAGACCAGCGCGGGCCAAAATATTTACGAGCGTCGCAAGGGTGCGACAGCTAAAAGCTGGTGACAAAAATATTGTTTCGAGTTTGAATAAATAAACAAAAGGTGCGGTTTACGAGACGACACGAACGCTATCCGGCAAAGCGTGAAAGAAAAAAGCCTAGGAAAACGACAGTCCACACTTATTATTTGTTTCCTTTGTAACTCTCCTTCTGCATGGCTATAACTGTGACTATACTTCATATAATTTTCCCAGGACTATATAGCAGCAAACTATAACTTTACTTATTTCTACAACATCGAAAGGCAAAGAGGCTAATAACCTTGACCATCAGCAGACAAAAGGAGATCTGGTGTCATTTACTGGAGCTTTTCAGTTCCAGATCTGTGAAAACTAAAGCGCGCTTGGAGGAAAAACATCTACGGGCTGCTAAAGTACCTTGCTGGCGTCAGTTTTTTTAGAACATATAGAACTAAACAGGTTTTTTTTTTCTATAAAATAAAGTTGAGATGTTCTGTAGCATTTCAAGATGGAGGGGCATCAAGAGGGTTTATTGGTTGTGCTTGTCCTCGTCCAAACTTCTTGGATTTTTTCTTTCCTGAAAAACAGAAAACTTACTTAAATTATTTTATAGAGAGGAAACTATAATTTTTTTTTAAGTTGAATGATATGTATTAAGTTGACGGATCAATTTAAGTTTCTGGGAAACTGCTCACCTACCCCTCCCCTGGTTGTACGGGTGTATGGCCTGTCTAACTCTACGAACATAGATCAATAGCGTAGATATATGTTAAAAGGAAGCTGCTTTTTATAACATCCAAACTTATATCAGCATTAAAAATTATACCAACGTACTGGTCAATGGATGCAATCATTGATATCAGCCAAATTCTTCGCCTTTTGTTTTGTTCATGTGTTACACAGTAAAAACCCGCGAATTATAAGAACCTAGAGTTTTCCAACTTAGCGTAAATAGGTTCTTATAGAAATGGTATTTAGTGGTATTTTAGGTTACTTGGGTTCTTAAACAGGTTCTTAATTTGATAGGCGCATTAGTGATCAGCACAGATAACTGCTACAGGGCATATGGGATATGGAATATATCGCTACTGTTATCGCTGTATTAAATGATTATCTAGAATACAGTTTACATGACAACCATACAGTGAATTTACCTTTCCAAAGTACAAGCATGCATGTCTTTCATGCATGCTGCAGTGTCCATAAAATGTTGTGTTGGCAAAGACATGATATGGTTTTCATTTTAGTTCATTCTTTGAATTTTACTGACTGAAACCTGGACTAAAAATTGTTTTCTGTATTTTCAACTGTGCCTTCATTTGTAAAATAATAACCTATTAAAAATTTTAGGCTAAATAGGTTCTTATAAAAAGGGGGTTAATAAAATGAAAATTTTAGCCTAACAGGTTCTTAAATTTTTAGGTTCTTATTAGCGGTTTTTACTGTGCTGCGAAATTTTAGCATCTAATAGGATGACGCAGACTGGCCTCTAAATTAAAACATGGTTTATACAATAATAGTCTTAGAGGCACATGATCAAGGGCCCTCAATAAAGTACATCAAGTTGGAGTTAAAATGAATAAATAAACAAGTAAATAACCAGGTAACAAGAGTCTGAGATGGCGTTCGCGAAGAAGGATGAAGCTCAGGAATAGAAAGGAAGGTCTCTCTTTTCTTGCGTGTCATCCTCCTCCCGCACCCTTCTGACTCCTTATGTAACTGTATTAATTTCTCGCGCAACAGATTAGCAGGCCCCTGACTATATAGTCCAGCTTATATTAACCAAACCCCAAATCAAGCAGATCCTCGGCACCGTGCACGTGGTGAAGACTATAGCGTCAGGCGTTCCCTAACGTTTCCGTTCCGTTTCCAGTGGCAGATCCAGACCGTAAGATAGGGGGGGGGGGGGGTCTCAAAAAATTTGGGGGACCGGGCCCCTCGGGCCCCTCCCCTGGACCCGCCACTGGTTCGTAAAACGAACCCGTTTTCAGCGAGTACCTATCAAAAGTAGACAATAATGAGGGTACTATGGTTTCCGCTTACAGTGTAACACAGTATTCTCTCGGTTAGTTTCATTTCATTTGATTACCTGGTTCCCAAGTTTCAAAACTCCCATCATCACTCTCTCCCCCAGCATATCCACCACTACTCTCCTTTCCAGACCCTTGCTCTGTTGGAGACTCATCACCAGACTCCTCCTGATCCACTCCGGCACCGCTACCAACATTGCTTATTGATTTTGTTGGTTTCTCTTTGTGGCTTCCGCTTGTTTCGATTCCAGATTTTTCTTTTCCTTCCGACCCTGTTTGCGAGCCAGATCCGGATCCTTTATCAGGTTCCGATCCCGATCCCGATCCTGAGCCAGAACCAAATTCCCCTGTCTTTTTAGTAGTTTTCTTTTTCTCTGTATAAAAGAAAAACCTTTTGAGTAGCAAATCATCAGCAACAAGTCTGTTCTCGATCCTCTTCGTTTGTCAGAGTAAAAGGCCCTATCGCTTACTATAATGTTTCATGCAACCTCCCCCAAAAACATGAAAACTGAAAACGCAAAGTCATAAATAATTCTCTCTTGCAATCGAAAGCGAGTAAAGGACAGTGAGGTGTGAAGGATGGCAGGCGACTCCCCCATTTGGCCAAAGCGGGTTTGTGCGCGCCCAAAGGGCTAGGTTTTTCAAAATTTAGAGTTGAAAAACAGGTTATGCTGTTTCACTATTTTTTGGACCCTAAGCTTTGAACATGGAGTGAAAGTTGGCGGTCAGGCAACACCATATATGTGGAAACAGCAATTTGCTACTGTAATCCCCGCAATCTTTTTTCCCTCCTTATTACGGGAAGCCTGTTTCATGCATGTCAGGATTATTTAAGGGGGGGAGGGGGCGGTGCGAGGAGTTGGGGATGAGTAAGGGTTTTCTTGACAGATTCACGGATAACTCTGTCGAAGACGCTAACGAGTATAGAAATTCCTTTGGCACAAAGCAAACAGTTGTAGGAAATACGTATTCAATGTTAAGTCGCATTGCTTGATGCAACCGAGCCCTCGTATTCATTGTGAATTTTGAAAAAAATATTGGACAGAGTAGAAGAAACTTTACATCTCTGTTTCAAATCTCCAGTATTCCAGTGGGACCGGTCTTTGTGTTTCAGAGTGAGATAAACGCTCAATGTCGTATCGCCAATTACCACACCGACCTACAGCTACTGGAGAGTTTCCTAAACAACCTTAAAGCAAGTGATACGGACCGACGCAAACCCACGCCCACGCTAACACCCCACGCATGCGCACAGCCATATCACTCGGGCAGTTGCAGCTAGACAGTTGTTTTGCCCTCGTTAGGGATCGTCAGTATGGCCGGTATTGCCGTCAGACCATTGCACGGTAAAAGCCTTATTTGGCGACCATTTACGCCGAGTAGAGAGCAAGCACTCCTTTAAGTGCAACTCAACACATGCGGAAGCTGTTGTCCTAAACAGCATAGTAGTTTTCTTCACATATAGACATTTTTTATAGGAAAATCTACCTTCTACACATTGATCTCCTTTTTTGTAAAATCCTTTTGTGCAGATACACTCATACTGAACTGCAGTACAAACTCCTCCTTTGTTGCAGCCTCGCTGGCATTTGTCATCTGAACAAATATGACATAGTAAGTCAATAATTTTAGATAAAGTAGATAAACAAGATAGTAGGGCAGCTTTTATCAATGCCAGCATTAGACTTAACACAAGTCGACTGTGAAGGGACGCTTGCGAAGAGAGCGGATGCGAGCGACGAAGTAAAGCACCTAACAAGCGGAAACCGCAAACTGGTTTTGAGAAAGTGAAAAACTGTTCACCGAAGCTGAAGCTTTATTAATTGGTCATGTAGCTCGGAAGCTGGGAGTCAATTGGTTTGCTACCCAAACCGGAAAACCATGGTAAACGATGAATTACCATTGGATAAAGAACAAATCAGGTAAGACCTTACGAGCATCTCCTACATTACCGTAGTAATTAGCTGTTGTTTAATACAATAACTTTTAAGTCTCCTTTATCTTATTTGCAGACCCCTAAATTATTTTTGTATAAAACGTTTTGTCATAATCTATAACGTAACGGTTACGTTTGAAAATGTATATTGTAGAATATGAAACGCGAAGTTGATATAGACATGCCCAAGTTCACAATGTCGAAGAGAAAAAAGCCTTATGAGACAAGTAGCCTTATCTTCACCAGCAAAAATCCATACAGTATGGCAAACACAAAGCTCGACAAATTAGTAAAAAATTACCTTGTTAAATAACCATCCTTAAGAAAACAAATTAAAACTTACCCATTTCAACGTAAAGGCTGACTCCATAGGAAACTTGTCCCAGTGCATTCTCGGCTTGGCATTTGTATGTTCCCTCATCCTCAACTCGAGGATCAAAAATCACCAGGGATCCCTCCCTTGTGATATGGTACCTCTTTCCCATAAACACCAAGGATCCCTCCATGGTGATATGAAAGCGTGATTCTTCAGGGGTGCCCACAATTAGGAGGTCGTCCTTGAACCATTTGATCGCGGGCGCGGGTGACCCTCTAGCTTGACATTTGAAGACTACTGGTTTTTGGGGCACTGTTGCATCCACAGGTTCAGGATATGTTGTAAACTGGGGTCGAACTGATCCGTTTTGTAACATTAAACAATAAAAAAACGTTTTGAGGCGTTCGCAAGGAATGGTTCGTTGTATGAGCCCATGCAAGGTAAATCCGGAAAATTTTTGCTTGTGGAATCCGGAATTTTGCTTTAGGAATCCGGAATCCTCCTGACCATTGGAATACGGAAGGCAAGTTTCAGTGGCAAATAATCCGGGATCATTATACCTTTCTGGGAAACTGCCCACCTACCCCTCCCCTAAGCCAACATTAATACTTACTTCTCACTTAAGGCTAAATGTTGGCTTAGGGGAGGGGTAGGTGGGCAGTTTCCCAGAAAGGTAAAATGATCATCCGGAATCCAGTAGCCGAAATCCGGAATCCACAGCGTAGAATCCAGAATCCAAGATTGTCAAGGTTGAAGTTTAATTTCGCTATTAAATATTTAAAGTTTTTAAGATATTGAACCACTCTTCTTTCACTATTTTTTTTTACGAGTCTATCACGAGAAACATGTAGCTAGACAGGCGGCTCAGACTAAAGCCGTGAATCATTAGAGTTGCAATCATGTCGAAAAAACAGGAGTTTGACTTTGTATGTGGATATTTACGATATGCTTTGGAAAACATAAATTCTATAAAATTCTCGATAAAGGAACCTTATCTTAATTCCATGGTGTATTGCTTGCAGTATTACCCGTACTTTCAAGATTTGAGGATTTTTGCGAGTCTTAGGTCCCTTGGTTTCAGAATGGACAACCGAAGGACCTTAAATTCGCAAAAATCGCCATAATGACTCACAGCTTGAGCTTAGGCCGCCTAATTCTCACCTCCAGCAGTAACCATGGCGTGACTTGCTGCAAATCCTGCCTCACTTTGAGCAACACAAACATACTCTCCCAGGTCCTCTTCGGCCAAGCCTTTAAGCGTCAACGTCCCCAGGGGATTGGAAACGCGATATTGGTCTGTCTCTAAAAGTGTACCGTTTAACATCCAGGAAAATGTGGCACCTGTATTTGACTCGCAGTGGAGTTGAACATTTTGTCCAAGAAGAACAAGAGTTTTCTTGGGGTATACGGACACTTTAAGAGGTTCTTAAAGGAAAGAAAGAAACGCGCAAAAGAAAAGTAAGAGATAACAAAAGAAGCCTGCAGTTTCCTATTTTCTGGTTAAAGACAGTGACGATAATTTATAGAACATACCACAAACGAGGTGTTTTTCTTTTAACTTGGTCACCGAGACACCCTTCACTTTGGCTGGGCTGGCACAGGTTATATCTCCCAAGTTTTTGTCCAGTAACCATTCCTTTAGCCAGCGTACGTTGCAGTCACAGTGGAGCGCACTCCCTTTCGTTACAACGTCACTTGGAGGCATAGATTGACGATAAGCTTCTGGGACATCCCATAGACTGAAGGTAAATGGAAGACGATAAGAAACCTGTAACTTGGGGGACGGCCTCGCTTATAGCTTTTGCGCAACTTAAGTGTGCATGTGATCTATGTCGAAGGTGACAGCACGTCACCTTTTTTCTCCGCAGAGGCCTCTTTGTGTCCTAGGGAGGCTGGGGAGAGGGAAAAAAGCGCGCGGGGGATGATGGAAGGAGAAAGAGAGGCTCCCGCCTTTCCTGCCTCTTCCCGTCGTCCATCGCGAATACCCAGCGGGAGTCTAGCTCTGTGGAGGAGAGAACCACGTCACGTGTTCAGTATCCATGAAAAGGTCTTTCATGCACATCATTTTTATCATGTTGTTTTCCTTTCAATTCTCTTCTCAAGAAATGCAAAATAGGCATTGTTCTTTGCGATGAGCAAAATCACTACATCTCCCTGAGCGAAACGCAGCGGATCACCATGGATAATAAAATTTGGTAATTATGCATCCAAGAATTTTTTGTTGTGAAAAATCGTCCGTTCGTACATACGTTCGTCCACCCCGTCATGTTAGAGGATGTGAAATGTCACATTCACTAGCTTGGTGGCAAGGTGTATATGCAGTGGTTCAATTTTATCCTTAATTCAAATTTTCCTACCCTTTGTTTTAAACTCATTTTCATAAATTACCATACCCTAAATAAATAAAAAAATAATTTAAACCAAGGATAAAATTGAACCACAACATATACAATCTGTCTTAAACTACTGACAGCTGTCAAAAAAACATCCACTGATCAGTGCCATATGACTGTATCGCGGTCTCAGGTGTCCACCTCTTTGAGGTGACGTGATTTTTTAAAGTTCCCCGCTGACCATTTTTAATTTATCGCAGGCTCATGTCCATTTTTTCAGGAGGCGTTCAGTTTGCTTCGTGCTAATGCAAAAGATGAATTACTGAAGGAAGACATTTCTTTTAAGATCCCACTAGCGCTTCGCTTTTGGCCTAGGCTAAATCTATATACCGTAAATCCTCTATTAAGCTCCCGGGGGGCTTATTTTTTTCAAGCACTTTTGAGGGGGGGCTTATTTAATTTAGCGAAACGCATCACCTGTAGCAAAACTACCGTGGTATGAGACAGAGTAGACTAACGCGTTGTACAATTAAAGTCACAGTCAAAAGTATTTAATTCACTTGTGAGAGCCTAAAAGTAACAAAAACAAAATTCTTATTCTTCAAAAATGTGCTTTCGGCCTCATGTTCTTCGGTAATTTTTATGAACAAACCATAACTGATCAGTCCACGTTAATCGTTAATTCTTTTTCTTTGAAGAATAAGGATTGGGAAAGGGGGAGGCTTAATAGAGAGGGGGGATAGGGGGGACTTATTAGAGAGGGGGGGCTTAATAGAGGATTTACGGTATTATTTTCTTTCGACTGCCTAAACATGTACTTACAGTCTCGACAAGCTCTTCAAGTGGTCAAAAGTTCCTTTCCCGACATATGAAATGTTGTTGAAGAATATATGACTGAAAAGGAAATCCATCACATGTAAACACAACAACGCAAAGCAAAAACAAACAAAATAACTGAGCATTTGGAAATTAAAAAGGTTTCATTGTTGTCGTGGTGGTTTGTTGGAGGCCAACTCTATTTTCTATTCAATTTAAAGTGCTACTTTAGCCAACACACTCAAGCAGCAAAATTTTATTTTATAAAACCACTGGCAACATCTACCATATCCATTCAATATTTTTCTTATCAGTCCACCTTTTTAACAGATAATCAAGTACTAAGTATACACGGCTTCAGTTGTAAAATGATCTGTAACTTTAGTAACCTCATCATGCAAGACATTTTATTTATTCACTTGGACTCTAGAACTTTCGAGACCTCTGGCTAGTACTCTTTGCTGTGAGTTTTTTTTTGTACGTCATTAAACTAGTTAAAAGCAAGTGACTAGAGTAGTGCTGGTATCCGTATTTCGAACAGGATAAAAAGGGTTTAATACTTACAGATCCTTGAGACTTCTTAGGCCGTTAAATGTCTTAGAATTGAGGAGAGTTAGATGATTGGAATCCAGGTACCTAAAATTGAATAAATGTAAGTTGTTTCATGAATAAGGATAGATCCTCTCTTTCTCGTTATGCGCCACATGTAAGGGAATCCCTTTTCCGCAATCCGGGAAATTTTAAACCTTTTTTGGAATTCAGGATCAGGGAAAGTTTTGCTTCTGGAATACAGAATCCTGGGCTTTGGAATCCGGAATAGAGCTCAAGGAATCTGGAATCCCACTCAAGATTGGAATTTAGAATCCAATTTCCACTGACAAAGACTGGAATCAATTACCTGGAATATGGATTCCAGGGTGTGGAATCCAGAATCCACGACTGCCTTGGATTCTCTTACATGGTGCGAGCCATATAAAGATAATCTTTTGAATTGAAATCGATAACGCTGAAGCAAGAGTTAATGATGAGTAATAGCCAGACAGGCTTGAAAAACTTACAGGAGGTTCAGATTCCCAAGATCACGAAACGCGTCGTCTGCTATATATGTGATAGTGTTAATACCCAGATGTCTGCGACAAAAGAAAACAACAGACGTTACTAAATGAAATTAACTGAAAAAACGATGAAAGAAATGAGTGGAAACAACAGCAGCAGCAACAACAACAACAATAATAATAATCTAAAGAAAGAAAAAAAAACATTAGTAAGGTTAAAAACAACGTAAAAACAATACGCAGTGAACAAGCAACAGTGTAGATTATTAATATGGCATAGGCGGTAAAGGCTAAGCGCAATCTTAGTGAATAGAGTGGAATGGTTATATGAAGCCACGTCAGAATCCTTTGTTGATATGTTTTTATGGACCTGATGGCGTACAACGTTCAAAAGCTTTCCTATCATCATTATCTTATTGGAGTATATCTGTATCGCTCTGTTACCATTTGCCTATTCTGTGTTTTCACTGTCACACTATCAAAAATAAAAGTGAAAGAAGATAAATATACAAAAATCCTCGCCAAGAATCAGATCTGTGAGATAATTCATTTGAGAGATTTTACCCAAATTTATAAAGCTTTGTATGGAGACACCTTGTTGGTGTCCCTTTGAGGGGCACAAATATGGCCGCCGGAAACTAACAGAAACATCTGTTTTTGCGTTTTCATACTTATGCGTGGATTCATCACTTGAAGAACTCATAAAGATTAAATTAATATTTGTTCTAAGGCAAGGAATGTTTAGGTAGTAAAATTTCAAAAAATCAGTAACGTTTTTAACCCACGTACTGCCTTTCCCGGCCGCCAGCTAAATGCTGCGTCACGCAAAAGCCTTGAAATTCAAGCGTCTTCTATCGCAAAACAAAGAACCCTTTGGAACCGAAAATTTGTGTAAACAAAGGTTTTTAGGTGCTGCATTATCTCACAAAAGTAGAAACTCAGTAGAATCGATGATTTCTTAGTTTGAATTTTGGTGGAGTCATGTAAAAACCCCTAATGGACGGCTTTCCCTCTCGCCGTGACGTCATGTCAAAACGCTCTGTTGAAAATTTTGATAAATTCCATTTCGGACACAACCGCAAGCAAAATGTTAGGTAAAAACTAATGTTCAAGCTTTAAGGTTTATTTACAGAAAATTAGTGCTAAACACATTGTAATTGCCTTACAGGACGCGAAGTGAGTAGAGTTCCTCAAACATGTTGTCGGGTATAAACGTCAATAAGTTGGAGTACAAATACCTGAAAAGAAAAGAACAGCTCGATGGAAACAAGTCCATGCAATAAAGCAATTTATACAATAATGTGAATGCTACGTGCGCTGTGATTGGTCATTACTCATGATCTATTAGAGTAAAGATACATGGATGATGTCACGGGAAACTTGTTTTCTTTGTTTTGTCCAACATCGCGCAGGGTTTTGAAAATATTTGTGAGATTATTTCGGATTGAGCAAGTGAAAGCCTTGGAAAAAAAGTTAGCAGGAGCTATTTGCTAACGAGAAAAATGGAGAAATCGAGACAAAAAGAGTTCTTGACAACTTGAGAATGTCTAAACTCCAAGAAATCTTCACAAGAGTTTCCATCGTGTGTCGTCGCTACGAGAGACTCGAACCCGCTGTTTTGCAAAATATTTTCGCGTTTGGGACTTAAAAAAAGCCTAAACTAGAACGATTATATCCTCGAACAGTCAAGCGGCACAAGGCAGCTATGTGTAACGATCTTTTTTTCTTTTCTGATCATTGTATAAAACAAATAGATTCCATGTTGCCGTAGGTCTGTACAGTAATAGATCACAGAAGACGTTAAAATGTGGTAAAAACATCATTGACACACTCGCCTGCGGCTCGTGTGCCACTTCTTTATTTTTACCACATTTTGACGATTTGTGATCTATTACTGAACAGACGCACGGCAACATGCAATCTATTTGTTAAATAAAAGTTGCGACAACTTTATTTTATACCCCTAAATGGGTTTCGGTTAAAAACCCATTTTAACGGGTGAAATCCATTGAATGTAGGTCGGGCGAAAATTTGAGTCCACCAGTTTTTTTTTTCGATTTATTCACGGTGTTAGTTATAACAATTCAGCAAAAATTAATACCTACAGCTGTCTTAGCTTTTTGGTTGCTGTGAATGTCCACGGTTCAATTTCATTGATCCTGTTGCGGTGAAGGTACCTAGGAAAAGAGAGGGAAAGACTCAGTATACGTGTTCCATTTGAGTTCTGTAAGATCAAAAGATCAATTCCATGAAAAGGCATGACTGCCATCTGGCATTTGCCAAATCCGTGGTATCAATGCTTTTGAAACATGGGGACAAGCTTTACTATTTCACATTCTCTAAGCAGAACCTCCTTTTTTCTTTTGCTTGATCGAGGAGGAGAAAGGAGGCTCTGCCTGAATCTCGTCAAGCCTTTGAAGTCGCCATAGCCCGAACTTCTGGAGTAGTCAATCTTATTTTCCTTCGTGCAAGCACCGCGTGCATCTGTTTATTGATGAGCCAATGGTCATAACTGAGCCCGTTGTACAAAGCGCACGGAATGTATCCTAGCAACATGCAGCGCAACGTACAGCGCATGCTAAAAAAAGATCTTACTCAATTCAGGCAAAGTCCTGGCAGGTGACTATTTCACAGAGCTCTTATCAAACAGAGACGCTCACGCTGACATCACCCATTGATATCAGCAGGTAGTGCATTCGTTCTTAAAGCAAAATATTCTTTTTTTCTTTCGTTACACACTTGAACGCCGGAAACAATGTTTGTAAACAGTGAATATCACTATATATCTCTGTTATCACTGGTTAAATATTTGAAAAATATTTGAAAATGTTTTATAGCGAGAATTTTTTTTTACCTAGAGGTCTATAAAAAAATTATACTCAAAAATGATTACGGTTAATTGCAGCCTAACCTATAGTTGTCTTTATAAGATTGATACTTACAATTCCTCGAGGTTTTTAAGCCCTTTAACCATTCTTTGAGGAACTCTGGTTATCTTGTTGTCAGAAAGAGACCTAGTTTCAATGGACAAAAAGATTTATCAAGTTTTAACTTACCTAAGCTTTATGCGTATACAAGAGCGGTAATTTATCCTCTCTTTTCGACCTGTGATACATATCAGAAATAGTGTATATCTTAAGCCCGGTTTAGTCCACACGATTTGTTGACACGATCGTGCACACATGCATCCTATGATTTATCAGGTCAATCTTTCTGTTTAGAGGAAAGCGCCTGGTTAAAAAACTTTCTAAAATCTGTTGCAGTGAATTTTGGTGAGAATTAGGCTGATTTTTCAGGGATTCCCCCTAAATCAGACCAATTAATCGTAGAGTGTAAACAAGCTTTATATATAGTGAGTATATTCTGCCACTTAACAGTGTTAACTGCCCTTATAGTTATCCCAATCTCAAGCCATCTGAACTACAAGGATTACTTACAGAATTTTGAGAGACAAAAGCCTGGAGAAGGCGTCTTTCTCGATGACGGAAATGCGATTTTTGTACAGATATCTAAAGAAGAGAAGTTTGAAATAATAGAGTAAAATATTTTTGGCATATAACACGTTAAAGAGAACACAAGTACAGTCGGACCAAGAACGATCTATGAGAACACATATAGTACTAGGAATTTCCATTGCATATAAGCTCAATTTTTGTAGAAAGCAAAGACAAACATTTAACAGACCAATCTCCCCATGCAGGGAAAACCAGAACAATCTAAAATTCTGGATTCCACGCCATGGATTCCGGACCATATTTGTAATCTCAGTGGGATTCCGGATTCCTTTAGCTGTATTCCTGATTCCAAAGCCCAGGGTTCCGAATTCCACCAGCTAAAATTTCCCGGATTCCGGAATCTGGATTCCCTTACATGGGGAGCGACAAATAAAGCTCGACTTCCCACCTACCCCTCCCTAAGCTAAGATTTTGCCCTAAGTGACAACTAAGTGTTAATGTAGCCCAAATTCAAAGTGGCCGTACAGATACGCCCATGAATAGCCTTGAAATAATGAGACCTTGTGAAAACTGGTAAATTGAACACGGATTTTTACTAGAATAGTTTCCAGCAGAAAAAAAAAAGACTTTCTTTTGAAAGTTCTACTTGTTCCCGAGCGTTTTGAATTGGAAAGCCCAAAAAACATGTGTGTCAATTTTCATCACTACTGGAATTTCTGTTTTTTTTTGGTAAGTGGAAGGCGCCTAGTTTTGTGTACACGATGCTTCTTAGTTCCAGTCTCGCATACTCACAGTGACGTAAGAGAGAAGACGTCTGCAAACAGGTAAGCACCAATATTTGTAATCTGATTCGAGTGCAGTAACCTGCAAAGTGAAGAAATCAACAGAAATTATATACACTGAATTAAGTTATCAATTTAGGGGAGGTTTTATCGCATTGGACGGGTACCGAAAAAGAGTGTAAATTAGACTGCAATGCAGGTGTATCTTGGGGGCGAGGTAAAGTTCATTCATGTAAGTAACGCTGTAGCCGCCATATTTTTAAAGAGGAAGATTAGGGAGAGTAGATATGGAATTTAACATGGCGGTTTCAACATGGCGATTACGCGAAGGAAAACGAAACGAAAACGAAAACGAAAAAGCCGGCTATTTCTAAACAATCGATCAGTCTGAAAGATATTCAAACCTTGTCAACGTCTAAAAAGTTTAAATACAGTGGAACCTTGATATAACGAACCTTTATATAGCCTCCATATGACGAAGTCCTTACCATAACGAACGATATTTTCTGCCCCAGTTATAGTAAAATGTATGGAAAAAGAACCCTGTTTAAGCGAAGGTATTTGGCCCATCCCTTAACCCTTCGTCAATTCGAGGTTCCACTGTAGTTTCAAAAACTCCTTTACGAAAGGGCTTCTCTTCTGGTGAATTTAGAGGGCTGGGGTATGCCAGTTAGTGACTTTATGGATTGAAAATGTTGCTTTGCTCGATGAAATACTCACAAAGTTTGAAGACGATGGAGACCTACAAATGTCCCATCTTCTAATGTGCTAATGGCGTTACCACTCAGGTCCCTTAGAGAGAAAACAGTTCAAAAAACTCTTTATTTGAAAGAGGCATCTTGTCTGGCTAAAATAAAATGCAAAACTTTAAATGATTAAGACATGGAGGTGGTATTATGGCAAAAATGAAATAAACGCCACTAAAAACGGTTTTCGTTTTTTACTTAAAGCAATTTATAGCTGTAAGTAGGCCAAAGTAGTAAATAAGACAGCCTGCGCAAAAAGCGCAACTTTATGGTTTTTAAGAAATCTCTAACTGTGTAACAGGATTACGTTTTTGCCATTTCTATAAACAAAACTAAAGATGAGACTGACTTCTTATATAACAAGCGTCCAGATATTTACTGAATCAACTCGTTGCCTAACGTTAGTCACCCTAAATTTAAAAATCGATAAGGTCCTAATAACTGTGCAATTACCCAATTTTCGTTAAGTATAAAAAGGACTCCACTGAACTTCATGATTTTAAAACGAGACTCATGCTGCCCTTGTTTTTAAAAATGTTTCTCTATAGTCTTTCGCGCAGGCAAAAAGTAGAGCCTTGATCAAAACAACCAAACAAACAAACAAAAGAGGAAATTCAAGCGTTGTTTCTACAGCAACATTCTTTTACAAAGGTAATCGATATGATCCTTGGGCCTAACCGTAATGATCTAATTGACGCCCCCCTCTCAAATAAACGCCTCTTGTCTATTAACCCTGATTAATGTATTGGACGCCCCTCTTTAATGAAGGCCCCCTGTCTTATAGAAGCCCCCCTGTGACATCTACCCCCCAAAAAATTCAGTTTCTTCCTTGATTAATAAGGCGCATTGCGTCTTGTTCCATGTCACGTTTGACTAGAGTAAGGATAGACTAACGATGACAGCAATATAACCCTGAATTAGAGTTCTGACATGGTAGTTGAGATGTGAAAGAGCGATATGGATCTCTAGACAGTCTTGACGTATCAATTGATCAACCCGACATTCTGCTTCATATGAACTCTCTTTATATTTCCGCGGAAAGCATATTAGTTTTGTAGAGATTGCTACGATATGGAAATAAACACCTATCTCTCTTTTCTATCTACTAAACGCCCACTCTTGGACCCCCCAAAATAAATGAATGACCCTGGCGTCTATAAAAGCATTTCCAGTAATGTCCATCCTGTAATTAACTTAGATTGCTTTTGTTCACTTACAAGGTTTCTAGTTGATCCAAACCATCAAATGCAGCATAAGTAAGTTTCGGAAGCTTATTCCTTGCGAGATTCCTGTTAAAAGAATAATCAGTAACCATTTGTGAAATCCTTTCAGAATGAATAGACGCTTTGTCCCGAACTATTTTTCAAACCACTCAAAGATTACACCCAAAAACACCTGAAAAAAATAACGATTTTGTTATGTGAAGTGGGTGCAGGAGAGGGTGTAATTTTAGAAAGTTTCACAAAGTTGAAAAAGGACCTTAAGGGTAGACTAGACTTTAGGGTGTACCAGGTTGACTACTCATCATCATCATCATCATCATCATCATCATCATCATGATCCTCATGATCATCATCATCATCATCATCCTCATCCTCATCCTCATCATCATCATCATCATCATCATCATCATCATCATCATCATCATCATCATCATCATCATCATCATCATCATCATCATCATCATCATCATCATCATCATCATCATCATCATCATCATCATCATCATCATCATCATCATCATCATCATCATCATCATCACCATCATCATCATCATCATCATCATCATCATCATCATCATCACCATCATCATCATCATCACCACCATCACCATCATCATCATCATCATCATCATCATCATCATCATCATCATCATCATCATCATCACCATCATCATCATCATCATCATCATCATCATCATCATCATCATCATCATCATCATCATCATCATCATCATCATCATCATCATCATCATCATCATCATCATCATCATCATCATCATCATGATCATCATCATCATCATGATCATCATCATCATCATCATCATCATCATCATCATCATCATCATCATCATCATCATCATCATCATCATCATCATCATCATCATCATCATGATCATCATCATCATCATCATCATCATCATCATCATCATCATCATCATCATCATCATCATCATCATCATCATCATCATCATCATCATGATCATGATCATGATCATGATCATCATCATCATCATCATCATCATCATCATCATGATCCTCATCATCACCACCACCACCATCATCATCTTCATTATCATCATCGTCATCGCCAATTGATACCATTGTTTCGTTTCAGCAATGCCATGTACTCTACTTACAAAGTCTTGAGCCTCGAACAGTTCCTGAATACTCCAAAAGCTAATTCTTCAATGCGATTGTCCTGTAGGTACCTTAAATGAAAAAAACAAATAAGTATGTGGGAATGGATTTTCGCAGCGTATACATGCTTGGTGTGAGTCGTGAAAATTTCTGAAATATTTCAGTTTCATTCTTCCACGACAACACCCAAATCCCGGCCAAATCAACTTGGATTCTCCGGGCCGGAGATTGGTAGTCTAAGTAGCATCATTGTAGGCTTCAAAAAAACTAAATCGCGATATAGCAGGTGCGCAAGTAGATTACAAAGAAATATTAAAAGGCAAGTGGAAAGGTAACCGTGGTCTCTCGTTCCTCGTGCCTTTAACGCATTCTCAAGAAAACCAATGCTTGTGGTCAACACTAAAAAATGGTAAGAACCACAAAGAGGAATCGGACGCACTTGGGAACTAGCCAAGGCAGTAGTGGAAAAGGGAGGATGGCTTGATAGTTAACATCTCTGTTAGGGGAACTTGTATGGCAGAAATCGCCTTCATGGTGTTTTCTCTAGGGCTACTGATGCACAAAAAAGCACGACCAAGTTTTGTTTATCTCAGCTTACAGAGTATGAAGGGAAGGAAGATATCCAAGGGATCCTTGTCTGATTTTCTTGATTCGATTTCCTTCCAGATGTCTGAAAGTCAATTTAAAAAGTCATTGATATATAGGAGGCATATTATCCAATTAAATAAGGTCTTGATACTCAGCCTTCTTTGCACGCGCTTTAGGATTGGTGGGATGAAAGCAATGTCACGTGGTACTTCAGACTTAGGCCAAACGTCGAACTATTCATGAGACGAACCAAACTCTCATTTGAGTGAATTAAGTGAAGATCATCTGTTGGGTCAGACCTCGAACTTAGAAAGCGTCGAACCAATCAACTGAAGCAGCCCAAAAAGTAATTTTAATATATTTTCTCTCGACTGAGGCTAAATATACATCATAAAGTTTATTGGTTTAGTTCGTCACATATGAAGATCGACGTTTGTCCCGGAGAAGATCTTTAGACGCACTGAACGTGTTGGACGGTCCAAACTCATTTTTTTATAAGAGGAACTTAACTGAGCCAGACGTCGATCTTTTCATGAATTTAACTCAGTATATACTCACTATATCGTTCGTTTCATGAAAAGTTCGAAGTTTGGCCTAGGTCTCAGGGAACAAGCAACTGATAAAAATTTGGCATTACGAGTAATTGAGGTAGAGTTTTTTTATACTCTCAAAACAAGAAGACGATTTTAGTCATGCAAAACGTACAGTTCGAGTTTCAGCAAGTTTTACGTCATTATTACTTGCAACGAAGACATCTACTGTCGCTACTGCTTCCAAAAATGTATTGAATGATCACTTCCACCAATAATTTTCCATTATCGTCTTTACGATAAAAAGTTGTTCATTTTCTGTTGTCTAGAATAAACAAACCCGACCCGAGATTACTAGTATTGGCAAATTTTAACTCTTGTTTGCCCCTAGAGAACCCACGTAACGTCGCTTTTCTCACATCAGTCCGTAAGCGTATCCCCCATTCCCTAAGCGCGTGCAAAGATGGCAGGTATCGTGAAATTGCACGATGGCATCAAAATCGTCAAAATCGTCATCGTGAAAAGGGACTTATTAAATGACTTGCAAGAACTTTTGTACCAAGTAAAATTCATCAAACTTAAAATTCAGGGGAGCTCAGGGTCTGAGAGACCAATGGAAAACTGATTAAAGCTGACAAACACTTGATATAAAGAATAATAGGGACCTTAAGCAACGAGAACGTTGACGTCACGGACGTCAAAAATGGCAACCGGAAGTTGATATTTTCTCTCTTTCAGTGCTCTGACTCGTACAGCGGGAGTTAAAATAAAGGCATTCACATTCGTGGTGTGAGGCAGACGCGTTCTATCAAGCAAGAAATCGAACCTCCTGTTACTATTCATGACGTCTGGGACGTCAGCATTCTCGTTGCTGACGCTCCCTTATTAGGGACTTTAAGCAATGACTACGGGAGCGTCTGGTACCGTAGCCTGAAGTAATTTTTCCCGCCAGGCGTCAAATATGCCTCAAGTAAGAAGTTAAAGATACCACGACTGCAATAGCGGGGAAAACAACGCTTAAAAAGTGAATTCACATTACTTTCTGAGTCTTTATCGCGATCATTCCAACTAATTTACTTTTCAAATGTAAGCGAACTCTCTTGAAGTTGAAGTCGTGCATGCGCAGTTACCTCTAGCCTGGCGGCAAGGAAATGTACCAAAAATGAGTGTGATGCAGATTGTGCAGAAGTTTTCGAGTTTTCCTTTTCTTTTATCAGCCCTCGGTTATTCACACCACTTACTCAAGTGTATCATCTTAACCGTCTACTACAGTTTGTTATTTTGTGTATTTATGGCTGAAATTTTGCGAATTGGATGTCGTGCCTGGTACCGAGGATAACGAAAAAAATAATAAAATGCGTATGTCGTGCAATTCTGTTTTAAACACTGGGACACTAAGCGTGAAAAATGCAACTAAATGCTTACGTACTTCACACTACGGCCCACCATGATCTCCTACGTATTCGGGGAGCCTAGTACGGCTACATCTGACTAGGTTTAATCAGCAAATCAACTACTTTGCACGTGCATCACAATTTTTGCACTGTTTTGCTTTCACTGCAAGACTACTGCGTATAAAAATATAATTTCATGTTTTGTTTAAGATGAAGTAAACAAGCGACGACAAAATTTTATCTCTTTCTAGTTTGCCTATATTTGCAAAGAAAGTGAGGTGGAATAATTAAGCGCGAAAAAGATTGAAAGAACGCAAGTTCTTTTTTACTTAAAAGACGAAGTACTTTCTGCTGTCGTGAGGCATTGACAAATGGCAGGAAAAATTACTTCTGGTCACCGCACAAGACGCTTCCGTAGTCGTTCCTTAAAGTCCATAATATTGAGCATGAAACGGTTATCCTGATTTGTAATTCATTGTCAAATTTACACAATTTCAAAGAAAATATGAGAAATATTTTTAAACCTAAAACGAACGACAGACTGCCGACCAATCAAAACTCATTCCAAAAGTAACGAATCACGAAGTTTAAAACCTAGAAAATGCCAAATAAACAGTCCACTCCAAAAGGCGATTGCTTGTCAAGTTTAGAATAAACAACAAAACAGATAAACTTACCCATACTTCTCCGCAAAAATTTGGACTGCCTATTATGTTGGCATATGTTTTGCCGGTATGACACTGTACTTTCGTCGAGCTAAATCATTTCTTTTCTCTTGTAAGTTCTTTACTTAAGAAATTTACTTTGAGATATCGGTATCCTGAAGGCAAGTTGACGCTTGATCTGCGTACTTCAGTTCCACAATAAATGTATAATGTATGCATAACTAAATCGTGTAAAGTTCTTCAACTTTGTTGTTTGTTTGTTTTTGTTCTGTGAATTTTAATCAAGCACGTCTTTAGGCGAAAGACCGAAAAATCAACCAATAAAAGCCGTACTGCAATACTCCGGAGACTTTTTAAACACATTTTACCTTAGCCTGCGAGCAAGCTCTCCTATTTGGGCGAGCAAAGCGAGCCGCGCGAGCCGCGCGAGAACGCGCAAGCGAGCGGCGGAGCGTTCTCGCGAGGCTCGCTTCGCTTGCCCAAATAGGAGAGCTTGCTCGCAGGCTAATTTTACCTCGTCAACATTCACAGTACGTGTTTGATCATAAGTCTAAAAATTCCCGCCCTTCATACATAAAATTGTCACTTTGAAGAAACGCTACGTTAGTGATTAAAAAAACATAGCATAAAATATATTCTGGAGATTTGGAAAACAGAAAATAGCAAAAGAAAAAAAAAACCTTGATTTATCCGATTATCGATTTTCATGAATAAGTTTGAAAGAAAATCAGTTAATCAGTTACTATAGGTCATCTCTCTAAGGTTTCGCTTATGTGATAGAAGAAAAGTTGTCCCTGGGCGAGCCAACTCTTCATACATTCCTTACAAAACGTGGCGAACGTTTAGATGACAAACAAGACGTTCGCTGATCGGCTAGAAGGATGACCCGTCTTTTGCATTGTGATGGTGGGACCACTCTCCAATCTGGGCGATCTTTTCTCCATATAACCACTTTGGCTCGCCCAACTGGGTCAAGTCATTCATAGTGATACAATCAGAGCAAGCGCGAGCGCTGTTGCTCGAGCAAATCTCAATTCGGCTGGGAGGTTGACCCGAAACCCGGGACAGGTTTTCTCCATAAAAACGGAACTTAACACACATTTGAGGGGTTAGATTACGTCTGGGACGCAGGATATTAGAACTCAACTCCAGAAAAGTTTGCTAAACTTTGACAAACTGAACGAGATGGAATAAGAGAAATTGAACAGCGCGAATGCGCTTTTTAAGTAAGGTTTTCCCTATCAACTCTAACAAAAAGGAGAGGCCGAGTTAATTACAGATTGCTCGTTCAGTGAGTTTAATACTTAAGCTGACCCAATTTGGAAACGGCGTATTGGAGTTAAGAAGAAAAATATCTTTTGGAGTGCAATATCTTAAACATTATCGGTTTTGGAGGAACGTGGTCGTGTAATGGTTTACTAGATACCGATAAACATATTGACTTAAAAAACAGGGCTTTTTCTTTTTCAAAGGTACAAGAATAAACTGAATTTACTTACAGCTCCATCAAATAGACCATATTGTTAAAATGCCATCCTTCAAGCCTTGATATCCTGTTATTCTGGAGAAGCCTAGTGATGTTCAAGAAAAACGAAGGCCACGTGAATAAATCTATACTAGCCAACTTGCAGCTCTCTACTTTCTTCAAATTGCTATATCCCGTTTCTATTCTATCAGGAGATGTGATGTAAGAGCCATTACTTGTTTCTAAATTTCAAGCTCTTACTCCAGACCAGAAATGGTACAAAACTACGCCTTGGTTTATGTGTCTATTTTAATTTCAACACGGGCTGTTGTAGCCTACGTAGCTCTTTTTCGCTCCCGTTCCAGCTTTGTCGACCAATTCTCGCACAGAAAGACATGATAAAAACAAGGACGTCGTTTTAATTTCACAACAACGAGATGGGTCTGTTGGCCTTTTTAGGTCCTTTTACAAACCGAATTGCTGACAGATTTTCATGCCTTTTCATATACTACAACTAGTGAATTCGAATCCCTACCCTTTCATATAACATAAATCCTCTATTAAATCCCCTCTCTCAAATAAGCCCCCCTCTAATAAGTACTTCTCCTACCTTTTCATGGGAAGAAAGTGAATAACCCCCCTCCCCTCAAACGTATTATTCTTCACTAACTGATAAATGACTGTATAAATCAATCACGACTATAAAACGTCATTTAGACTGATCCGCGATAGTTTATTCACGTGTTGGAAGTTCGGATTTATTTTTGATCTTCGGCTACGTGACCTCAAACCTCTTGTACTTGAGCTTTTCCACTTTGTATTCTAGCTTTCTATGGAGACCTGATACCACCATTTCCGTTAAATTAAATAAGCCCCACTCTCTAATGAGCCCCCCGTCTCTATCAAGTCCTCCCCTCAAACATGTTTGAAATAAATAAGATCCTGGAGGAGTTAATAGAGGATTTACGGTATCGGGTAATTTAAACCTGAAAAACATGTGGAAAAGGTACCCTTTCAGGCTGTGCTTCATTTCCAACAGTAAAACCTCGATGTTGAAGCTGCCTCATGAGTGTGGTCCTACAATTTCGGACCATACGAAAAAGTACTGTCGCAATAAACGATCAATGATTACTCTTGAAGCCTGAACTCCTGTGATTATTAATAGTCAATGCTCTTCAATTAAATGAATTGAGCGCTCTACCAAATACGTTCTACCTAGAATACAAGTATAATGAACTTCCATATAACGAAGACCTCGATACAACGAACGATATTTTCTGCCCCAGTAAAAGTAAAATGTTTGAGTACAGTGGAACCTCGATTAACGAAGGGTCAAGACAAGTATAGTAATACGATTGCTAATACGAGGTTTCGTTATTTCAAGGTTCTTTTCCATAAATTTTGCTGTAACTGGGGCAGAAAATATCGTTCGTTATATCAGAGGACGTCGTTATAAAGAGGTTCGTTATATCGAACTTCTACTGTACCATGAAAATAATACTAATGATTGTTGAGGTGCTAGAGAGTGACGTGTTGAAAGTTGCTGACATATTTAGCTTTTAAAAAGTGTCATCAGGTAAAATCAGTTCCCTCCCCTGCAATTTCATTTATACGATTCAAGTATGCCAGCCGCGATTGTGGAAAATGCAATTCACCCTAAAGTTGTTGAGTACTGTGTATTTCCCTTCGGGTAATTTTTATGAAGCCCCTCAAATGCTGACTCCTTCCATAAAAATATTCTGTAAGAGACGATAAAAAGGTCTCTTGTATTCCAAATTGAATAGTTCCTTGTAAATTGAACCTTTGATAAGTGACGAAAAGCAATCAATTACGCAACCAAACACGTACTCAATTGCAAATACACACTAAATGACTAATCCCTTTATAAGAGGCAAAATACTCAAAATGCATGTCTCAATATATTTCACGCTATCACTTCCAACCTAAGCATTTAGAGGGCAAATCTAAGTTATGAGTAGGATGAAAGCGGCCCATTTGACGATTTCATTCAAAGGCTTTTGATTGCGGCAGTTTTTTTTAGTGGTTATGTAATGTTTGTCCGACTTGTGGCGATAAACAGATGGAATGAGGCATTAAGGCAATAAGAATTAGGAACGTTTAGGGTCAACTTACAATGTTGTAGTGAGCTGCGGCAGAGGCCACGGAAATTTCTTTAGACGTCTTCCCGAGCAGTTCACCTTCGCCCCCACTCCACGAGATTCCTCGAAGAATTGTTCTTCGCAAACGCATTGGTCTGGACACGGTGTAAGAATCTGGCTAGCGCTCCATGCGCAAAACAATATCAAGGCAAATAAAGCGATCAAGAGCTTCATTATGACGAGCAATTTCGCCCAAGTCAGTTTTCCGTCTGACTGCAGCCTTTTACGAAGAGAACTGTAAAATTTTCCTCCCAAAGTTCCGCTCACAGCACGTCTTCACACCAATTATTTGTTATAAACAAAGGAACAAAGATGTCTTTCAGAAGTTGCGTGGTTTAGTTTTTCTTTTCCTCCCGGTTGGTTGCTCTGCTACAAATATTTGACCTCCTTAAGAACCACGATTGTGTTTCATAGATCTAAACTGTGACAAGCTGTGATACTAGAGCTGGATAAAGAATGAGGTGACAGGCTGTTATTAGATGAAAGACAGAAAGCAGGAGTTTTCCAGACTTTCCATCTACGTCTTTAACCCAAGGCGAGAAGCTATCTCCCGTGTCTTTACAATAATGATTTTTAAAGCAGTTTTCTGGTTAGGCTCCACAAAAGTCTCATCCTTACAAATAAGTGATATTTAAGTAGGGGCTTGTCACCCCATGTAAATAAGAAAAGCCAAGACAGTCTTGGATTGTGGATTCCACAGCGTGGATTTCGGATTCCAGGTACTTGATTTCATTGTCATCTAAATTCCAATCGTTAGTGGGATACCGGATTCCTCGAGCTGTATTCCTGATTCCAAAATACAGGATTCCGAATTCTGCACGCAAAATTATTTCACCGTATTTCGGAATCCGGATTTTCTTATTTGAGGGGAGGTTTTTTTGCAGGAAATGTCAGCTTCTCCCGGAGGGTTATTTTTTGACTCTAGTCCCCAGTGTTCGCGTAACTAGACACGGACAAATGCGCCGATTTTTCAACTTGTATTGCATCTAATTTCAATCGATCTTTGTAGTCAAAATGCACAGTTAACACGAACGGATTGAAGGAAGGTGATTTTGAGACATCACTTTCTTGTGAATTCCGCGTTGCAAAATGTAAGTGTGTACATTTTTGCGTGAAATTTCACTTATTTGGAGCTATATTCCTCTTTAGTATTTACCAAATCAGTGAATAGGAATTATCGCGCGTTTTGATTGGCCCCCGTAACTCGGGATTTTCCTTGGCTATTCACTGTTTTGCGCCCGGAGCCAAGATGGCGTCTTGTTTCGAGACATTTTAGGAAGACAAAATTTGTGCGATAAATGAAGAAGTCGTCAGTGACAAATTCCAAGAAAGCGACGAACTTTGGATTCTCGGTGTTCACTGGTAGGTCGGGAAATTATTTTCAGGCTGAATTTGCAACAAAATTGTAAAATGCACTTGATAAAATCCCCGAAATGTTTGTAAATTGTAAACAAAGTTCCTACTAGGTGACGTTTTTATTTTACAAAAGGTTCCTTTTTTTCATTTTGATCCAACTGATTTGTGGTAAATTTACTAAAACAACTATCCCCCTCAGGGTCGGTGAACAGCGCTAGATATATACATATATATAGAAAATGTCAGCAAGTCCACGGCAACAAACCAATGAGTGGTGCCGGATCTCCCAGTTGTAGACCTGGATCAGTACAATTCAACTTGTAGAAAAATACGAAACGGCAAACTAATCCTTACGGCGAGGCGATGAAGAAGTAAACAAAGGAATAAAACAAAAAATATGTATTTAAACAAATTGCCCAATATCTCGCTTTGAAAACAAACCTTCTTCAGGGGCTAAAAGAAAAATGGAAATAAAACTAAAAGTTCATTACAAATAAGAATTTGAAAAAGTGACAATAAAAACAATGGATTGTTATTGTTATAAGAGACTAGGTGGTATCGTATATCAGTGAGCCTCGTCCCGTCTATTTATTCCTAGAGGAAATAATGTGTTCCCTTTGTGTATTAAATGAGCTTCTAGAGCCTTTCTCACTGCATCACGGTTGCTGTGTATGATCCCAATTGAACTCCGGCGGCGCGAACCGTCCAGCGGTTTTTTTCTTCAGCACCATTCATGTAAATTTTCGCACTTACCAAGGGGCTGTCAAATGACGGGTACTGGAGCGATTTTTTAACCTTCAGTTCTAAAACACACTCACTCCTGGCTCACTGGCTCCACCCTAATGACACCTCTACAGTGCTTACTTCGACCGCAAAGAGGAAGACAGAATACTATCCAGCGGGAATAAATAAAAGCATTCACCAAAATATTATGTAAATTTGCCCTTACACTGAGAAAAGTTTTTTTCTTGCGCTTGCAATGTAATAACGCGAATATTATGCCGTGTGGCATCTGCTTTTTTATATTTGTTTATGAAAAGTTAGGTAAGATTTTCATTTGCTTTTTCCAGCAGGTTGAAAACAGCTAAATAAATTAATTTCTCTGTAGCCCTTTCATCAAGTTACCATCAGTCTCTCAGCGAATGAACTGGTGCTTTTGGGTAAACGTTATTTTGAGGTAGACAGAACAAAAGAGGCTGCGTATTTTGGTGGGGTCAATTATCAGCAATAAAAGACGGTGTGAAAAATTTATAGCTTATATTTGCCTTGAATGCATTAGGCTCCAAATACAGCTGCTCCCTGTCCAGTTGTGTTTGCAGGCTATGAATTCGTGAAGTTGTATTTTCTCATTGACCATAGGTATCACAGGGTCTGATTCCACCGAAAAACAACTTCTAAAGATGAGTGGAGAAAAATTGAAGTTCTAACTAAAATGTTTTGGATCCCACTTCTTCAATTTTTGGTAGGTGACTGAAATCTGATTAGGGAAGAAATCTAAAAGAACTTAGCCCGGTTATCATTCGCAACTCTCGAAGGGTAATGGTATGGTATGGGAAAATGTGGGAAAGAAAAATATGACCGATCTGAAAATCGACTGGATTTTATTTCATGTTCATTTGGCGGTCGACTGACTTCGTAAGGTCGAAACCGTTCGAGCAAAATGTATATATATCTGTATGCAGGGGCCATTTTTAGGAAGGAAATGTGCAATGATAAATATTGAGTTACTTCACGGCAAAAGAACAATTTTACAAACTGAAAAATTCCTATTTGTTTAATATCATTTGCGTACTTACATGTTTTTAGAAAACCTGGACTTAAAATTCAAATGGGTTTTGACTGTTCTTTTTTACATCGTATGAATGTTTTTAAACAATTTTTTTTGACATGCTGACTACATAATCATTAACAAACTAACATGTTCTGACTTCTGCAGCAATTATTTGTCATTGCATCTACACACATTAGAGGTAAGTCTTTGAAACAAATATTTAAATATCATATATATTTCACCATAGCTGGGCTGAATGAGATATGCCACGATTCAGTTACTTTTGAGTAAACCTCTGTATACTAGTAAGAATTGTCGATATATTAGTGACAACTCTGGCTTTTGCAGAGAGAAATACAGTGGGCGATTTCGAACTTAACCAAGACGGATTTTTTGTTGTTATTCTTCTTCTTCTTTATATTTATATTTCTTATGCTTAAAATGGGCTTCATTTATCGAAATTTCTTAGAAAGGGTTTGGCCTACCAAACTTTTTGCACGTGTAAATTGAGTGTTTGCATTGAAGATTGAAATTTCTGTTAATGGTTTTGGAATAGCAGGCGCACAGTAAGTTCTATTGACTCTAACAAGGCAAACGACATAAAATTTTACCGCAGTTAATTAGGGGTTTATAGAATACGCCCCCTGCCCAAAACATGGCTCAGCGCTCGAAAATATTGTATTACTGTTTTCGGCTATCTTATTCCTATCCTGCGAGCAGAGGTTTCTCTTTTGCATGGCTTTTAGCGTTTACGAAGTTACGAAGTCGTTCGTGTGGCTTGTCTGTCGCGTAGTTGGTTTGTTTACGCCCAACTACGCGACAGTCGACACGCGAACGACGACTTCGTAAACGCTAAAAGCCCTGCAACTGAGAAACCTGTGCTTGCAGAGTATCTTATTCCTGTCCTTTCTATAGTCTCATGTCTACGGTCCTGGTCCGCTAAAAGTCTGTGTGTCATCCAACTTCAGATGACAAAACATTATTCAGGTTAATCTATAGCTATTCATATTGTCCTTCAGCATCATGTTTGAGTTCGGCCTTTAATTGCAGTGATTATAAGCAACAATTTTAAATCCTTTTTTCACTTTTTTTTTTG